TTATGTACATTTAATAGGGAACGTTTTCAAAGTTTCACATATAAAGTTTACCACTACAATTTAGAAAAACTCCTCTCACCGAAGAGACTACAAGTGATAAAACTCAAAGAATGAACAAGACCTTAACCTTGAAACTATGAGTTGACATGACGCCAGGGATAAAGGCAAAACCAACAAGTATTTTTTTCCCCGAAGAATGTATAAACTGATAACTTCATGTTAAATCAAAAACATGCACATGCCATCACAGGTGTTGCAATGTTCCATCCTGTTCACATCTTTACCTCTTCGCTGGGTTAATTTAAACTTTTCCTCTTTAATTAATGATTCTCATGATTTAATCTTGAACTGTCAGTTGTCTGCTGTGCGTGTGATGAATGCCTAGGAGCTACATTTGGTGAGATGGGAAGAAAATGGCTATGTAGACAGAGAAACATGTAGGCAAATAGATGAAAATCTTAGTTGCTTATTGTTATCAGAGAATCATCGTGTGGTTAAGAGAATATAGGGGAAATGTATCTGAGTAAAATGTATGTGTAAAGATGCAACAATCCTGCTTACAAGTTCAAGATTGTTTATTTAGATCCTGAAATTTCACACACTAAATTCCCATTAACAATTACAGCTATTCTCTGTTGAAAATGAATAGAAATTAATATTGAGAAAGCAAACCTACACAAAAAAAATGGAACCCAAAAGAGTTTTACATTGGACCAAAAAGGGTTCAAATCAAATCAAATGTAATTGGTCACATACACATATTTAGCAGATGTTATTGGGGTGTAGCGAAATGCTTGTGTAGAAATAACAAACAAAAAAACTAAATACTGCTAAGTTGCTTAGGAGCTTGAAGCAGAGCTACCATGTCTGCCGGCGCCATCATCTACAGTATCTGGAACCAAAAAGGTTTCTCCTTTGGGGACAGCCGAAGAACCCTTTTGGAAACCTTTTTTCTAAGAGTGTATTTTAAGGGCAGGTGTCACTCAGTGTCACCCCAACATAACCTTTGCTGATGAAATGTCACGTAATTTTCGACTACAAAGAGCTTCACATGACATGACACCCATTGTTCAAGCATGTGTGTCTGACTCACACTAATATGGGTGGACATAGTCACTTGTCCAAAACAACCCTGTGGAGAGGCTCTCTCCAAGAAGCTTACATCATCCATAATACATTTTAATGTTCTGTCCTGAGGGTTCATGGAAGAGTTCAGGGATGAGTTCATGGCTAAATGTATTGTTCAAGATAATTACATCTTGAGTGCGAACATATTTATTGTTTTGATATTTATGTTGTAAAAGCAACTGAAAAACACTACCTCGCGTCCTCCACCTAGTTACTAGGCTCAACAATTTGTCAAAACAGGTCACAACAAGCACACACACACACACACACACAGACACACACACACACATACACACACGAGAGAGAGAGCGAGAGAGACAGAGACAGACTCACATACAGTGCAATCGGAAAGTATTCAGATCCCTTCGCTTTTTCCACATTTTGTTACGTTACAGCCTTATTCTAAAATTGATTAAATAAAACATTTTCCTCATCAATCTACACACAATACCCCATAATGACAAAGCAAAAACAGGTTTTTAGAAATGTTTGCTAATTTATACAAAATAAAAAACAGAAATACCTTACTTACATAAGTATTCAGACCCTTTGCTATGAGACTCGAAATTGAGCTCAGGTGCATCCTGTTTCCACTGATCATCCTTGAGATGTTTCTACAACTTATTTGGAGTCAACCTGGGGTAAATTCAATTGGTTGGACATGATTTGGAAAGGCACACACCTGTCTATATAAGGTCCCACAGTTGACAGTGCATGTCAGAGCAAAAACCAAGCGATGAGGTGGAAGGAATTGACCCGTAGAGCTCCGAGACAGGATTGTGTCAAGGCACAGATCTGGGGAAGGGTACCAAAAAATGTCTGCAGCATTGAAGGTCCCCAAGAACACAGTGGCCTCCATCATTCTTAAATGGAAGAAGTTTAGAACCACCAAGACTCTCCCTAGAGCTGGCCACCCGGCCAAACTGAACAATCTGGGGAGAAGGGCATTGTTCAGGGAGGTGACCAAGAGCCCCAGAGTTCCTCTGTGGAGATGGGAGTAAATTCCCGAAGGATAACCATCTCTGCAGCACTCCACCAATCAGGCCTTTATGGTAGAATGGCCAGACGGAAGCCACTCCTCAGTAAAAGGCACATGACAGCCCACTTGGAGTTTGCCAAAAGGCACCTAAAGGACAACTATGAGAAACAAGATTCTCTGGTCTGATGAAACCAAGATTGAACTCTTTGGCCTGAATTCCAAGTGTCACGTCTGGAGGAAACCTGGCACCATCCCTACGGTGAAGCATGGTGGTGGCAGCATCATGCTGTGGGGATGTTTTTCAGCGGCAGGGACTGGGAGACTAGTCAGGATTGAGGGAAAGATTAATGGAGCAAAGTACAAAGAGATCCTTGATGAAAACCTGCTCCAAAGCGCTCAGGACCTCAGACTGGCGCGAAGGTTCACCTTCCAACAGGACAACGACCCTAAGCGTACAGCCAAGACAACGGAGGAGTGGCTTCGGGACATGTCTCTGAATGTCCTTGAGTGGCCTAGCCAGAGCCCGGACTTGAACTCGATCGAACTTCTCTGAAGAGACCTGAAAATAGCTGTGCAGCGACGCTCCCCATCCAACCTGACAGAGCTTGAGAGGATCTGCAGAGAAGAATGGGAGAAACTCCCCAAATACCGGTGTGCCAAGCTTGTAGCATCATACCCAAGAAGACTCGAGGCTGCAATCGCTGCCAAAGGTGCTTCAACAAAGTACTGAGTAAAGGGTCTGAATACTTATGTAAATGTGATATTTCATTTTTTCATTTTGTATATACACTGCTCAAAAAAATAAAGGGAACACTAAAATAACACATCCTAGATCTGAATGAATGAAATAATCTTATTAAATACTTTTTTCTTTACATAGTTGAATGTGCTGACAACAAAATCACACAAAAATTATCAATGGAAATCAAATTTATCAACCCATGGAGGTCTGGATTTGGAGTCACCCTCAACATTAAAGTGGAAAACCACACTACAGGCTGATCCAACTTTGATGTAATGTCCTTAAAACAAGTCAAAATGAGGCTCAGTAGTGTGTGTGGCCTCCACGTGCCTGTATGACCTCCCTACAACGCCTGGGCATGCTCCTGATGAGGTGGCGGATGGTCTCCTGAGGGATCTCCTCCCAGACCTGGACTAAAGCATCCGCCAACTCCTGGACAGTCTGTGGTGCAACGTGGCGTTGGTGGATGGAGCGAGACATGATGTCCCAGATGTGCTCAATTGGATTCAGGTCTGGGTAATGGGCGGTCCATAGCATCAATGCCTTCCTCTTGCAGGAACTGCTGACACACTCCAGCCACATGAGGTCTAGCATTGTCTTGCATTAGGAGGAACCCAGGGCCAACCGCACCAGCATATGGTCTCACAAGGGGTCTGAGGATCTCATCTCGGTACCTAATGGCAGTCAGGCTACCTCTGGCGAGCACATGGAGGGCTGTGCGGCCCCCCAAAGAAATGCCACCCCACACCATGACTGACCCACCGCCAAACCGGTCATGCTGGAGGATGTTGCAGGCAGCAGAACGTTCTCCACGGCGTCTCCAGACTCTGTCACGTCTGTCACGTGCTCAGTGTGAACCTGCTTTCATCTGTGAAGAGCACAGGGCGCCAGTGGCGAATTTGACAATCTTGGTGTTCTCTGGCAAATGCCAAACGTCCTGCACGGTGTTGGGCTGTAAGCACAACCCCCACCTGTGGACGTCGGACCCTCATACCACCCTCATGGAGTCTGTTTCTGACCGTTTGAGCAGACACATGCACATTTGTGGCCTGCTGGAGGTCATTTTGCAGGGCTCTGGCAGTGCTCCTCCTGCTCCTCCTTGCACAAAGGCGGAGGTAGCAGTCCTGCTGCTGGGTTGTTGCCCTCCTACGGCCTCCTCCACGTCTCCTGATGTACTGGCCTGTCTCCTGGTAGCGCCTCCATGCTCTGGACACTACGCTGACAGACACAGCAAACCTTCTTGCCACAGCTCGCATTGATGTGCCATCCTGGATGAGCTGCACTACCTGAGCCACTTGTGTGGGTTGTAGACTCCGTCTCATGCTACCACTAGAGTGAAATCACCGCCAGCATTCAAAAGTGACCAAAACATCAGCCAGGAAGCATAGGAACTGAGAAGTGGTCTGTGGTCACCACCTGCAAAACCAGTCCTTTATTGGGGGTGTCTTGCTAATTGCCTATAATTTCCACCTGTTGTCTATTCCATTTGCACAACAGCATGTGAAATTTATTGTCAATCAGTGTTGCTTCCTAAGTGGACCGTTTGATTTCACAGAAGTGTGATTGACTTGGAGTTACATTGTGTTGTTTAAGTGTTCCCTTTATTTTTTTGAGCAGTGTATTTGCAAAACCAGTTTTTGCTTTTTCATTATTGTCTATTGTGTGTAGATTGATGAGGGGGAAAAAACTATTTAATCAATTTAGAATAAGGCTGTAACGTAACAAAATGTGGAAAAAGTGAAGGGGTCTGAATACTTTACGAATGCACTGTACACACACACAAAGACACACAAACACTTGTGTACGCACACACAGACACACACAGAGAGAGACACACACAGAATTATCAAAGACCTTGAAACCTATTTGCCAACCCAGTGGTGCTATCAGGTTCTGTCTGCTGTCCTTCAGGTGGAGTTGTCCATGGACTACAGTCAAGGCCATTGTACACACACACACTTCCATGGATTTCCTAGAGACATCTAGTGTAACAGGTTACACTGGCAAACATGTAACAAAAACAGGAAGGCGGTGTCTTGGCTGCACCTGCCAATCGTTCATTGCCACTGCTTTATTGCTTCATCTCCCATCCCGTGGCTTGTGTGGAGCACTGTATAAATAGCTGCCTTAGACCTTAGGATGCCACAAGCACGGTCTCCAGAACCTCTACTGTCAGCTAGCTGTGTTCTCTCTGCTAGGGAGTCAACACTGAACCTGACCATTAGACCTCTCTAAGGCAGCTTGTGATCTTTTCACTGCACTGGCATTTGCCACTAGCCTTTTGGAGCATCTTTAGCAACCATGATCATCACCATATCTTTGATTTGGGCAGTGGTGATTGGCTTTTGCTGCTGTCTGTGGCTTGCTCTGGGGATCCGCAAGAGGTAAGCAGAGACCCATGCATTGTATAGTAAAATGCCTTTACGTGTAACATTTTAAAAGATAAGAAATCAAATGTGGAATGTAGACAATAACATCATATAATGGAACTCATTGTAATAATAATAATGTAAGGATTTGGGAGATGTAGAATGTGGGTTATGTAGTTATATTCCTTTTAAGAAAACTAGAGAGCAGCTGACTTTTAATTGTTTTCTTTCTTGGAGGTTATATGGTTTTATTTGTGTCACCTGTCATTGCTCTTAAAACTCAGATTGCTTTCAAGTTTTGTTCACTGTGGTAGGTTTTTCATTTTTATTGAGACTAGTGTTGTTCACATGTCAAAAAATCCGGAGATAAATCAGCGTCTTTGACATGTGGTACTTTAAAACCAGATAGTTATGTATAAGTGGTAATGTTATTCTTAGATTGCTGCAGTGTCATTGGGTTTCACTCTGCTGGATGTGATTCATTACTTTCAAAGTTGTTTGAATTGACCTTGTAGTTTGAGTACATCTTGTTTTAGCACACACTTATTTATGCATTACTATGTTGTTGTTTGGGTTACTTTGTTGCTGTTTAAGTCAAGTGTTTTAACATCTCTTACTGTATGTCTAAACATCACCTTTGTGTTTCATATGTACAGCTATCTCTGTTGGCTTGTTTGGGCATTGCTTTATCGTTGTTATTATGTTAAATGTGTGTTGTTGCTCTTCCAGACAACCAGGTGAGCCTCCAGTGGAGAATGGTTTGATCCCGTACCTCGGCTGTGCCCTCCAGTTTGGAGCCAACCCCCTGGAGTTTCTCCGGAGCCGACAGAAGAAATATGGCCACATCTTCACTTGCAAGATCGCTGGCAAATACTTTCACTTCCTGTGTGACCCTTTCTCCTACCATGCCGTCATCCGCCAAGGCAGGCATCTGGACTGGAAGAAGTTCCACTTCTCTACCTCGGTCAAGGTAAGGACAAACCTACCTATGAATTGTTGTTCAACTAAACATTTGCTGATAATGAGTTCATATATCTATCTCTGTCAATCCAGACTTTCAAGAGTATTAAATTAAACCTCTCTCTGTCTCCCCCCAGGCGTTCGGCCATGACAGCATGGACCCCAGACACGGCTACACCACAGAGAACCTCCACCAGACCTTCTTGAAGACCCTGCAGGGCGAAGCCCTCCCCTCACTCATTGAGACCATGATGGAGAACCTACAGTCGGTCATGCTGCAGTCCGACACCCTCAGCCCCAGCAAGGACCGCTGGGACGTGGACGGCATCTTCGCCTTCTGCTACAAGGTCATGTTCGAGTCCGGCTACCTGACGCTCTTCGGCAAGGATCTGGGCAATGACAAGAATGCTGCGCGCCAGGAGGCCCAGAAGGCTTTGGTGCTCAATGCTCTGGCGAACTTCAAGGAGTTCGACAAGATCTTCCCGGCTCTGGTGGCCGGCTTGCCCATCCACGTGTTCAAGAGCGCCCACTCTGCCAGGGAGAACCTGGCTAAGACCATGCTGGCCGAGAACTTGAGCAAACGCGAGAACGTATCAGACCTGATCTCGTTGCGCATGCTTCTAAATGACACGCTGTCCACCTTCAACGACCTGAGCAAGGCCCGCACCCATGTGGCTCTGCTGTGGGCCTCGCAGGCCAACACACTTCCTGCTACTTTCTGGAGCCTGCTCTACATGATCAGGTATGTAGGGCTTAGGCTCATTCCCATCCTTAGTGTCTCCTCTATAGACTTGTGTCATAAGTTTGGCCAAGCTCACTCAATGTGAGACTAGTTAGGACAGACTAGGTAGGCCAGAAAGTGTTACAAAGAGTTTAGTCTCTGTTAACCCAGAAGTAAAATCTTGCGTAATGTGGTCAGCTGCGTGATTAACTTCTGTGTTCGTACGTGTTGAACACCCCCACCGGCTTCGCCCAATGCTGATACATAACAAGTAAAAAAATATATGTACTAATGCTGCTCGGATATCACATTCAGTCCTGGCAGATTATCTCGATCTACACGCAGAATCTTCCCACGGGAGATTACAAAGAGTTGAACTGAACAGAACAGTTAGTCCCGAAGAGAATACACAGAACAGTGCACACAGACACGGCAGTACAGTACAGGGCATCTGAGGATGTTCACTGCCAAGATAGCTGTTACAACAAGCTATCTTGTTCTAACTGCTGAATATAGAAACTGTGCTCATTGCGGTGGAGTTAAGGCCAGAGTAATGTATTTTGTAACAGTCCTGTACAGTACATCGGAATCTCAACAATGCTCTGACTGCGACTTAGCACTGGCTCACAGTAACTCTTGTGATAACAGAGGTGTCAAGAACCACTGATTAAATACAGTTGGAGAAACATAGCATTCCCTTTATGTCATAGAGCTGCATAGAACAAACCTTATCCACCTCTACCAAAGTGCACGTTGAGAATATTGTGATTCATCAATCTGTATAGTCTGAACTTGATGGTTTTACTGACCCTCTATCTTGTCTTGTCTTCAGGAGTCCAGAGGCTATGAAGGCAGCCAATGAGGAGGTGAAGAAGATTCTGGAGAGTTCAGGTCAGCATGTCGACCCTAGCAAACCACAACTCACTCTCTCCCGGGAGGACCTGGACAACATGCCTGTAATAGGTAAGGGGAAGTTGCAATATACCTGGTGAAATAAAGCCAAAATCATCTAATAAATATTGTAACTAAATCATGTTTGATACCAAAGTCAAGCTATCCAGTGAAAATGTGATTATAAAGAGTAATGTCTTCTTGCCCTGCAGACAGCATCATCAAAGAGGCCATGCGACTGTCAAGTGCGTCAATGAACGTCCGAGTGGCTAAAGAGGACTTCCTGCTTCACCTTGACAACCAGGAGTCGTACCGCATCCGCAAAGATGACGTCATCGCCCTCTACCCCCAGATGCTCCACTTTGACCCCGAAATTTACGAGGACCCCTTGGTGAGTGATGCTCAGGCTCTTTCCTTTAAAGATGAAGGGGGTCTAGTATGAAGGCCTCATAACTAGGGCCAGTTTTACTTGACAGTACATTTTCCTAATACTCCTCTTTCTGTGAATCCATAGACCTACAAATACGACAGATATCTGGATGACAGCGGCCAAGAGAAGACAACGTTCTACAGGGAGGGGCGCAAACTGCGGTACTATTACATGCCTTTCGGCTCAGGGGTGACAAAGTGCCCCGGGCGCTTCTTTGCAGTGCACGAGATCAAGCAGTTCCTTGCGCTGGTGCTCTCCTACTTCGACATGGAGCTCCTAGACTCAGCCGTTAAAGTGCCTCCTCTCGACCAATCACGTGCAGGCCTGGGGATCCTGCAGCCCACCTATGATATTGACTTTAGATACAAACTGAAAACTCAGTAAGACAGACTCCACTGATCTACTTTCTCCATAATGTGAATTGTATATATTGTATATTTAAGAATTTAAGCCACAATGATCCCACTGGGCACACACTGGTTGAATCAACATTGTTTAAATTTCAATGAAATGACATGGAACCAATGTGGAATAGACGTTGAATTGATGTCGGTGCCCAGTGGGATGTAAATACACTGCGATGTATTGATATAATGTCTGTTTTAAGTTGATACAGAGGGGTTTGTCTTAGCCTCACAAAGGTAGCATTGGTGAAAAGGCCATTTTAGGAGGAGTCCCATTTCAAAAGTGACATTAATGGAACTCCATATAAATGTTATCAGTAATATTTACTGAATCTTCCACGTAAGCATCATTACTGTATCACTATTGCCAACCTCAATCTTTGAACTGTTAAATCATTGAACATTTCAGTTGTGCTTCTGTTTGTGACCTTCACAATCAGTAGTTGGTAATTACCCCTATTTACTGTGTTGTTGAATGGCTCTAACTGCACTGATTGAGTAGTGTAATGTACATTCTAGTTCCATTGACGTATTCCCAATGCTGGGATAAAATGATTGTATTATCTGTATTCATGTTTACTTTGATATACTGTACAAAACAAGTATAAAAACACATGTGATGTTTACTTTACAAAACCAGTATAAAATCAATACATTTCTACAACAGTGTATTGTGCCATTAATTTGTTCATATACCATTCAGTCATTACTTTGATCACTACTCACGCAAACATACACAAAGACAAGCCACACTCTCATGGTATAGGTCATTCAATAAACCTCTGATAAGGTCTCTCTCTCTCTCTCTCTCTCTCTCTCTCTCTCTCTCATCTCTCTCGCTCTCTCTCTCTCTCTCTCTCTCTCTCTCTCTCTCGCTCTCTCTCGCTCTCTCTCTCTCTCTCTCTCTCTCTCTCTCTGCTACATTGGAAGGTGATGTATTACACCAGGTGCTGGTATCCCATCTCAGGTCCATAAGGGCTTTGGGTAAGTGGGATTTTGGTTTTAATTAGAAGACTAGTCTTGAAATTAGACGATGACAAGATTGAGTGAGTAGACCTATGGCACAATTGGCCAGCTCCTCTGTGCCCTGAAGTAACTTGTCCAGTAATCAGATCATAAAACAATGATTGTTACATAGATTTATGGATCCATATCCAGTGGTGTAAAAATACTTTGAAGTACTACTTAAGTAGTTTTTTTGGGGTATCTGTACTTTACTTTACTATTAATATTTGTAACTTATTTTACTTTTACTTTACTACATTCCTAAAGAAAATAATGTACTTTTTACTCCATACATTTTCCCTGACACCCAAAAGTACTCGTTACATTTTGAATGCTTAGCAGGACAGGAAAATGGTCCAATTCATGCACTTATCAACAGAACATCCCTGGTCATCCCTACTGCCTCTGATCTGGTGGACTCTACTAAAGACACATGCTTCATTTGTAAATTATGTCTGAATGTTGGAGTGTGCCCCTGGCAATCCGTACAAGAAAATGGTGCCATCTGGTTTGCTTAATATAAGGAATTTGTGATGATTTATACTTTGACCTTTACTTTTGATACTTAAGTATATTTTAAACCAAATACTTTTAGACTTTTACTCAAGTAGAATTATACTGGGTGACTTTTACTTTTACTTTAGTCATTTTCTATGAAGGTATCTTCAAGTATGACAATTGGGTACTTTTTCCACCACTGTCCATATCTTGTCTACAACAAGGACACAGTCCACCAGCCATAACCATCCAAGGTCAGCTCTCGTCTGTCCCCGCCTGGCAGTGTATGTGTGCCAGCTTGGCAAGAGATCAATCCCAGGATGATAAGAGAACTGATAGGTACACTGTAACTGACACATTGTAACCCCGGCACAGCTATCTCGTCAACATGCCAACATGCCAACAGGCCAAAGGGTTCATTTGTGAGCTACTGTCTGTGTCAGCTGGAATGTAGTTATTGGATGATTATTCATGCCTTAGGTACAGCTGGACTGAGCTGGCTTAATAATGACTGCAACACAATTAATACGTTTGATCCTTTTATATCTGTTTGTTTGATGTATTTTTTTTTCTCAGCTTGATTTGATCACATAATATATATGATGTTCTCTATCTATAACCTGTACCCAAAAGAACATCCTTGATGCTAATGATGCTTCATAAGTAAACATGTACGCTTAGACAGACATGTGCCCAGGATTTAATCTCATTTAAACTAACTGGTGATCAGATAGTACAGCAATGGGACTCAAAGGTGCGTGCGCACAAAAAATACTCTAAACCTTGCGTGTGCCAGTTTTCTCATAAAGGTAGGTATTTATCAATTTTGAACTTGACAGGAAAGTGTGTGTATCTCCATACAAATCTCAGACCATGCGTAGAGAGTCGAGTGAAAGAAAGGGGGACGCCCTACCCTTGGCTGGTGCGTGGGGTCGGGCTAGTGGGGGGGAGCATGGAGTCTGACAGTAAAAGCGATACGGATACTAATGGATATACAGTATATATCAAGGCCTGAGGTTGATGAGGAGAGTAACCCCACAGAAAAAGAAGAAAAGGATAAGGAGAGTAAAGAAATCCAATGATGAGTTTGAATCTGATGAAGGGAGGGCTAGCCAGCTAGATACCCCTGTCGGAGCTGGTGGGAACATGAAGGGAATTAAACATGGAGGACATTGGAGGGATCACAACACTTGGGTGGGGGACGAAATTGAACCTGACAAGAGTGAGGATGAATTACCTGTGGTGGCCGGTGCGGTGAAGACTGCCGAGGTCAAGCCTCATCCCGATGATGATAAAGATAATTCTGGCCCAGTGTCAGTGAGAATTCAGGAGAGAATGGATCCTTGCCTTCTGGCTTATCCATATGTGGTGTCAGGATGGGTGGAGAAAAAGTTGGGGACTGTTCGGTCGGTGAAAGTGACTCGAAGTGGACTCAAGATAACTTTTTGTGTTTGTGCACCACACGCCTAGGGACAAGAACTGTGACATGCTTTGCTCTTTTCATTATGTTATTTCACTTAATCCTACATGTCGGAGCTCCAAGCCTAAGATTTTCACTGTACCCTGCAATCACACCTGCAACCCTGTACATATTACTTTTAAACACTCTGAATCTCTTCGTCTGAATCTGAAATGAGTTATAACTTCCGTTAAGTGTTGAGGAGGGTCAACTGAAATGAAAGATTCCCGGTGTCTGTGATGCCTGCCATTTGGTGCGAAGCAGACTTGGTAGAGAGCGTGGTGAAACAGAGAAGACACTGTCTGTCCTGCTGAGTCTTTACTCGACAAAGTCAAGTTACGATGTGTCAGTTATCCCGTGAGAGCTTTTGTCCCAAATCCATTACCATGTTGCAGCAGTATGTAGGAGGGAGATTCCTAGATGTGAGAAGTGTACAGGATGGCATGAGAAAACAGAATGTGTAGTATCGGTGGAAAAAGTTGTGTGTGTAAACTGTAGGGGTACCCATGGTGCTGGAGATCAGAAGTCTCCGGTGAGAGAAAGGCAGGTTGAGGTTAACAGTGAAGAGAGTAGTAGAGGAAGATGGATCCAGGGAGAGTGAGTAGGCCGAGGCCATTAGAGAGTGATAGGAATAATGTGCTTCAGTAAGGTTGGTTTCTTAGCATTCATAGCCATCACAGAAAACAGATGCTGTGGTGGCAGCTGCAGAGAAGTACTTGGGTGTACAAGATTTTACTGCAGAAGAGTTACAAGGTGTTTTGAACAATAGTGTCCCATCCTCCCAGGCTGTCGGCCTGGTGTAGGATCAGATGGGGCCAAGTAGTGGAATAGTGGTGAGGTTTTAATGGGTGTAGGGTTAGTTGGTAGGGACATTTTTCCTTTGTGTTTTTGTGTCACAAATTGTAATGAATTCACACTCCAGAACAGTAGGCAGGGACAGATAAGAGAAAAAGATGAATAGGGAGGCCATGACCTGCATCTCACTCCGGTACAGTAGGTGGCGGTGTATGCACCTTTCAGTTGGTTGTGATTCGCCAATACAAATTTAAAGAAGAAGAAGAAGAAAAGTCACGTGGAGTCGAATGGATTCGGTTCAGTCAGTTCTGTCAGTCGTCCTGATGAGCCCTTCCCAGCTGTCTAATTTAAGCTGGCTAGATGGCAATAACAGCAGCATGGCATTAGTTAAAACTTATAAAAGAAAGTGATGTTTATTTTGATGTGCGAGGGAGATATAACTTGCAGTATTGGTCACCATGTGGATGTCACCTTGACATGCCAATTATCTAACGTAACGAGGTTGTATCGAGATGCTTCCCACTATTGCTTCCCACTGGGCAGCTGTATCACATTTCGCTGGTGATTGCTAATGTGGCCAATTTGTTCCATCCCACTTGATTATATTTTGAGTAGGATAGCAGCCTACACGAGAAATAACTTGTAAAATTGATAGTACCCATCTGGATGTCACCGTGATACAGTATATTGCTCAATGGCGAGAGTTTGCGCTGCAAGCCGGCAACACAACAACACGGGGCACAGTGTGTCCTTCGTTCCTGCTTGCAGTAAGGAGAGGGAAGTAGCTAGATAGTCTAGCCATTATCAGGCCAGGGTGACAGCTAAAGCACATTTATTGTAGTGATTTTCACCGAACATTTACAACTAAGGCATTAACGTCTACATTTTTGTAAGAAATTAAAATTAAAATACATTTACTCCGATAAAAACGGAATGATTCTGAACAATCTCCCAAGTCCAAACTTCGGCAGAGTTTCAAATTCTCTCTGAAGTTTCTAGCCACAAGCATAAACTACCGTTGGTCCCCACAACTCTCGCTGCGGGACATACATACATTTTGGACACTAGGCATGTCCATATAGCCTCTCCCAACAAATATAAGGCTACCATTTATCCATCGGTCATTTATTAATCAAATAAATCGACCGGTAGACTTTTTCAACTTGACAGTATGTGTAGGCTACAGTATTTCAGTGCGAAAGGAGCACGACATCATAATCTATTTAAATTCAGAGCCTATGCCAAGGCAGTGTTTTGTATGGTGTTTGTTCTATACAAGAGCAAGGTAATGTTGATTAGAAACTATTTACTTCAGCATCATTG